AAAGAATACAGCAGAGGAAGATATCGGAAAAGTGGAAATAGTGTAAAAAAGAATCCGATGACTAAAATAACAATGTAATATGAATCAACATTTAAAACGCTATTTTGAATTATTTTTCCAACAGCCTCTAACCAATAGATGTTCATGTCTTGAACTTCTTAGTGGTCGATAATTTTTCAGACATGACTCCACTGGACATCGATAGTATTTGGAGTACATATGTGAAAAATATGTAAGCACTAGACACAAGAGTGATTAAAAACCTCAGATTTATTTAGTTAATGCAAGGGTGAAAATGAACAGCACAATATCTGGACTGGAAAATCAAACATTTAAATAAAGTGCTGAAACCGCATACTTGTAAACAAAAGTCATATACATATATTGATGATGGATAGTAGTTGGCAGTGGAAACCAGCTGGTACGTTTCATCCTATTTGGGACTAGTCAGCTGGATTTATCTGCCTCCCAGTGAGTGATATTGTTGCTACTGGGACTCGAACTCGGGACCGATCGCTTGAAGCGCCAGAGCGTAATCTACTAGACCACCGAGCCACGATAGCCTTTCTTGCGCCATGGATATAGTCCCAGTGTTTTTCCTTGGCTTGGTGGTCTAGTGGGTAACGTTCTGGCGTTTCAAACGATCGGTCCCGAGTTCAAGTCCTGGTAGGAACAACACCACTCACTGGGAGGCAGGACATCCAGCTAACAAGTCCCAAACAGGACGAAACGCGCCATCTGGATTCCACTCTTCATCATGATTACATATAATTAATACACAGGCAATATCGAGGCAACCGCGCAGGAGCCTATATGCCTATAGAGACCGATCAACTCGGTCCAATCAACGACGGTATAATACAAGCAATAACACTAAAAATCGTATATGTTCTCCAATTTGTCTCAATGCTCTTATGTTGATCCCTCAACAAAAATACGCGTGTTTCTAAACAGCTTCTCTAGTTCATTTATAATTTTGTTTCTAGCACTGCATAGTGACAAGCATATAAATAAGTATATTTACTTTAGTTTATTTCGATTATAACGGTAGGAAAAATTAATTATTCAACCCACATGTAAAGCAATTTTCATCATACTTCATTTCGCTAGTAATTGAAAAAGATAAAATCTATTTTTTTCGAGTATGGACTTAATTAAACAGCATGTGATTCGCTAAAAAACATTTTATTCAGTAACGTGAAACAGCGACAAAACATTAGTACGAAAACAGGAAATCACTGTAGTGGAAAGAAAGATTTCTTCAAGGTAAATTTAACAACAAATTCATGAAAATATAAAAGAGGGAAAAAAGTTAACAAAACAAATAATGACAAGAGCTTGAATAAAATTATATTCTTATCACGCTTACTACTACAAATAGATATCTGATAGACAATAAAAAGTAACGAATAAAAAAAGTTACGTGAATATTTAAAAAGGCTTGTCTCTGTAAGCCATATGGGTTAGTTAAACACTGGTCGAAATTTCTGTTACTAACCGACTGAAATTTTAAAGAATCTGAAACAGAAGCAGTAAGAATTCCAAAATGTGTGACAGCTAATAAAAATCATTGACAAGAAATAGAAATAGACGAATTGACGGTGGAAGGAAAAGAAGAAGATGAATGATAAAGCCTGAAATAATAAAATGTTTTCTTTTAAGAGTGATATGAGGATAGCTACTTGTAGTTTTCCAGTATAAGCAGAAAACAGTCGATTAGCTAAGGTAAAGTCATTCACAAGGTGTAAGATCAGTACAGCACCCAGTTAAATGACATTCAGTGACAGACTTTGGGTACAGATGTCTCTTCAAGGTACTGGAGAATAATATTGAAGGAACAAACTGCAGTTGGTTTCACTGATTCCAAGACAAACTTCAACATTTCATGTTATAGTGTAATATCGCGTGAAGTATACATGATAAAGATCAGCAATTAAAAAGTAGTTACCAAGCGAAACTCCATTTCCACTTGATTGCAAACACTGAACAAATTTCATGACAGTTAAGTGTGTTCAGCATCAATGGCCTTAATATCATTTAGCTTTTTGGAGGCTGATTGGTTCTTATTTGCTAACCTAGTCTGCCAGAGGCATCACAGCCCATTGCCAACGTTTTACAGTGGGATGTTGAATAACTCTGTTTTAAATTTCGAAGGACCACATATAAATCTTGTCAATGACCGTCAGTAAGAAAAACATCAAAGTTCACAACTTTCAGATAACTATGCTCAGGCACATAACACTACAGAATTAGGTCATACAGACAAAAAAAATTCAGTCTGAGGAATTGTAAATATTTTTAATGCCTGACGCTTTACACTGAGAAAAAAATGCAATGATTTTGCTTCCCAGTGAGTGGTGTTGTTTCCACGGGACCAATTGGTTCAAACCACAGAGTGTTATTCACAAGTTATTGATCGTTTACTACTTAAACAGTCGATAACTCGTACAGACAGGTTTTATTCTCTGAAGATGTGATTTCCACGAAATCGCGAAACATCAGAAATTTGTTTTTCTACCTCAATAGGATTTTACAAATATAATTCATCAATAATCCATTAATCCAATCCTCAGCTTATTCAACTTTATCAGGTTGAATTTTGGTCCTGGAGTTTATAAAAAAAAACTAACTGGTAAGAAAAACCTATTTTTATTGCAGTTCATATTGATTGTTCACGGCTGTGTATATACTTTCTTCTTAAACATTACTTTTTGACATTTAATTTTTCATCTCGGTCCGGAAATACTCTTTTATATGTAACATATTAAGAACACATCAGTTGGTAGTCAATGAAAACCGTATGCCAGTCACCCTACAGTGACAAATTGATATAATTTATTATGTGGATGAATGAGTCAAAAGTGTGCTTGAGAAGGAAATTTGGAAAAAGGAAATAATAAGATAAGAAACAAACGGGTGTACATTTATGTAGAAGCTTCCGTCTTATTCATACGGTTAATTTGAAGCGTTGAGGATTTGTTGATATACTATGTGGCATTTTGAAGGTAGTTAAACAATATCTTACACAACTAATATGAACAGCTAAGACACTTCAGAAATCAATCCAACTCTAAATCCCTTAAGATTTATTCTATCCTCACTTTTAACAACACTAGTAGTCAAAAAGGTGGCGCAATACATCTCTTGACCATACACCACTCAATGAAAATTCTACTCGATACCAAACACATCTATGCTTTGGTTCGATACTGTTCATCTAACAGTTCTTTTGCATCAATTTAAAGTTATCGAAGTGTCAATCAGTCAAAATCTTTAGGATCATCTTGTCACCAACTTCAATCCATCATGCCTTAAAAATAGAAAATTACCAGAAAGGCGTAATTGCAGTTTATGCTTAACGAGTAGTGATTAATGCAAAAACTTCATGGAAGTATACTATAACTTACGAAAGCTACAAATCAGCCTTAAAATCATGTTGAAGAAAGATAAGCATAATGACATATAAGTTATGCATGCTAGGAAAATATTTTCTACTTTTTACGCTAAACGTTCACCTATCTTACTGAATATATCTATCCAAGCAAAGGGTGAATAAGTGTATGTATGTATTTAGTCAAACAAATATTTCATACAATTCTTTCCCTTCATAAATTTAAATAGAGCGAGAACAACAGCTTTAGCAGAATAGGATGGTTTCTCATTTGCTGCTGACGAAAAACCACAAAATAAAACGGATCTAGGCTATTCTACTAGGATTGTTCTTTTCGCTTTATTTAGACAGATGTTTATAAGGCCACTACTAATGAATATGAACGCTTAATACCATAACACAGCGGTACCATTATATTAAAAGCTAAATGCTAATAGACTGCTAACCTAGATTCAGTCAAGTCTAGTAGCTGCTTCTGTAGATAATATTAACATAAGCAATGCTGATACTATTACTGGTTTTCCTTCTTGAATCAGTAGCACAGATAATGAAATAAAGACAGTAAGACAAAGGAGTGCATACTACTTACTACTTGGTGGCCATTTTTGCACTATATATATATATCCCTTTCTAGTTTTCTGCCTAAATAAGATAAAAAATCAATAGGACAACCAACGAAAGAAAGCCAACTGACCAACTATATTTTATTCAATAATCGATCTTCATACGCATGAATATGCCAATATAAGGGATAAAAATAGGTAAAACGAACGAAAAAGAAAGTATGGATTTATAGGTTAATCTATTTCGGATGCGTATATAGGTTAAGTCTGACAATTAGATGCTGTAAGTGAATAAAGAAAAAATATTTTTGTTTTTTCTTACAATAATACATCTATGATAGGAATCTGGTAGTTGAGCACGTACTGAAAATATTGTATAGTCATCAAATAATACCGAATATTGAAGAATCCTTCAGTTTGTTTCATCTTATATGAGCAGCTTAGTTGTCGAAGAAGAAAGATGACTCAGTCGTAAAACATTTCGAGTTATGAAGCTACTAAATTGCAGTTCCTGACAAAGCATTGTCACAGCAGAACTATTTCCTAAGTAAATATTTGATTATACATAATTTGCATTAAAAAACTTGTCAAAACAAAAGCTGATACTTCAGGATTAGTCCGTGCAAATACTTGGCTTCAAAATATAAATTGAATTGATTGAATCGCATACTTACTCTGCGTTCGTTACCGGTGAAATCATGACACGTGTACAAAACGTTGTTAGTCACTTGCCAAACTAAATCAGTTTTCATTCTCACAAGTTATTGCACAGTCTGTGAAATGGTGAATATTATGTTCATAAATTTGCTTAGTTACACAAGAGGTTAAAAAGTGTTAAACCATTGATTTTCCGAAAAAAATCCACTATCGAAAACTCCTTCAATTTGTAGGATCCTGTCCTCACAAGTCAGTTGTCTACATGCATAATGATATAATTCTAGATTTTATGCAAATAAATTCAAACATGCATTTCTCAAAACCAGTACTTTAAATAATTCATTCAAAATCTTACAATATTGATAATATAAGAAGAAAAGTCTGCTTACTTTAGCTGATTGCTTATCCAGCACCTGTTTATCAGTTGACGGCTCTTCACTGCGATAACCAAGATTATCATTATTATTGTTTGCATTTGTTGCAGTTACTGTTGTTGCAGAGACAGTTGATGTTGTCATATTTGTTGTACAGGTGTTCCCAGTATCTGATGCGTTATTTGATGTCACAGATATAGTAGAACTTATTAGAACTGAATTAGAGTCTGTAGTGATTCCAGAAAGAGAAGGTGAAGTAATTATGCATGAAGAGGAAGTAGATGAAGTTACATTAGGATTCACTGGTTGATTTGTATGATCGAATACGGATGAGACTTCAGTAAGCACCGGCAATTGTCCTATATTAGCGTTTGGGGATAAGGAAGGCATAGCAACCCCAAGCGGCGAAGGTTGTGGTGGTACTGCACCAGTTCCACCACCAGCACCACTTGAAAACGGTGGAATCGGTGGTATAAAATAAGGACCAGGTGTGAATGAATGAGGATGAAGATGAGGAAGTAAGTGAAATGGCGGTACAAAGTGTGGTGGTGCTGCCAATGTTGTGGCAACAGGGATTGGAGTCATTGATGGATGAAGAAAATGTTGTGGTCGATGACCAATGTGTGGAATGCTCCCAAAATAATAAATATTAAGATTTGGATGTTGTTGGTGTGTTGGTATTTGTGACGGTTGAACACCGATGGATGAATTTGTAGTAATTCCATGAGGAGAATTAGATGATGCACCAGCAATGTTTCCTGATACATGATTTGCAATAGTTTTAGTTCCACTGCTGCCGTTATCTATCGATGTATTTGTTGTTATTGTATTCGGTCGTACATCATTTGAATTTGTACAAGATACAGAGCATACTGTTTGTGGTCGTGCCGATGATGGAACCGATAACGACACCTGTCCAGGATGCGAATTTTCTAAACTTTCACAACCAACTGGTCTACAGTGAACACGTTGAAGAGAAAGTGGTGAACCCAATGGACTGACAGCTGGTGTACTAGACTGACTGTCTAATCCACTTGAAAAAGATTTCTTTCTTCTAAACAAGGTATAATAGAGAAATAATAATAGAAAATTAAAAAAAGAAATTACTCATCCTCACTAGAAACAATTATGACAGCTTTGATAAAAATGAAAAATATAACATGAATACAAAGTACACTATATGATCAATATTTATGCAATAATTCAAGATTGCACTGTAATATGTAAGACGGTATGGTCATTTTGAAGATAAATAACTCCGGCTAGATAAACCGATGGCATATTAACGATGAATGATCCATACTTTCTACTTTCTCAAGATCACTTCAAAAGTATCCTGATTTTGCATTGACAATGATCTAAATGGACAGCTAAAACTAGTTGTAATATAAATATCTATCAGCAAACTGAAGTGGTTTCTTGTTAGACACTTCTAATGTATCATGTTATGTATCCGTCACGCATTTTCTAAATGGATACATTTCGATTCGAAACTGAAACTCACCCAGCCCTTTTGTGTGTGTTAGTTCAATAGACAATGAACGACACCTATTATGTGAAAGGTGGTTACACTACCTGGCTACCCACACCTCGATTGGTGGAACGGTGTTCGGTCCCATGACTTATCGGTTGAAAGTCAGCTATCTGAACCGCCGAACCATAACTCCGTTTTGTGAGGTCATTATCAGGGGTTTCTTACTCTTGATTTTTCACCTGCTTACGTATTATCGAGAATTAAGGTTGAAGAGTCTTAGTGAAATGTCCACCATTCTAGTGGACATTCTAGGCCATCAGAATTGTAAAAATAGAAAAAAGACTTTCCAAAAGTGTTTCTTTTTCATGAAAACATTTCATTAGGTATAAAAACACACAGGTATGCTTAATGTCTGAGTATAAATTTACATAATTTATTGGTTAAGTTAATTTTCTTCAAGAAATTCATTTTCTAAACATTATTTGTTCAAAGTAATAAATTTTATAGTTTTATTGTTCATTTATACTACTGAAGCGAAAATGATTTTATGCAGTCCAATATTCCATTGTGAAAATAAATCGAATGCGAAAAAAACAAATAACAGGTGAAATGAACAAGTCACAGGTTACCTCGCATAGAGGTGATGTTTATAGTGGTCAACCTAGAAGTATAACATTTCTGCCACATTCATAACTTCTGCACAGTTATAAGAATTCCGTCGAAAATCATTAAATATAATAGGATACTATTTAACTTGAGAAAGCGGAATTTGTCAGTTTACTGAATTAACTGTATGATTATTTAAGATGACTACGGTTTTGTAAACTTGTATTACTTATACCGATGAATAACTAGAGGTGAAATGAAAAACTGGGCCGCGTTAAAACTCGAACCAGCGCCTTCGTGGTTAGAAAATAAGCTAAGGGCATCGAAATAATATATTAAATATTTCATTGATTGTTTGAACTGAATAAAAGAGTGTAAACTGCTCAGTTGTGTTACTCAATATGTTGATACGGCCATGTGATACGACCAACAATTGATCATAGCAGTCCTGATAAAACCATTTTTTCATCATCAATTTCTGTTTACTTTACTGTTCGTTCTTTGCTTTTTTCCCTTCTTTCAGATCTTTCTATTTCATTCAGATACATTCAATAATAAAGGATCAATGTGAATTTTTGCACATATAGCTCCTCAGCATGTCCTAATGACCTAAGGTGTGATTAAGTACTTCTGTAATTGCATTATCATTGTACTCATTCATTATGACCACGTGCTCTTAACTCTGATTTCGATGATAGACTACCAGGTATTTTGAAATTCTACTCACACGCATACCAATTTGAATCTTTAGAGTGCAAAGTTTTCTCGTTATCTTTATTAACTACTATGCATAAGGTTTTGCCATTAAAAGCAGGTGCATTCAGTGTGCTTTCTGAATCGTTTGTTCACTTTTTCCTTGTTTTCTGTCATAAATTCTAGTATTCACCAGTATAACTGCTTCAATGAAAAACACATGCTCCGCTACTTTTCCATCAGCTACAACAAGGTTACAGTTCAGGCTGGCTAATCGAAAGTAACTATTTGTATAAGCTAGTCACTATCATAAGAAATTGAAAGCCAATCAGACTGATCTGCCAATTAAACAAGGTTGAATCAAAGCTCACCTGTGATTTAAGCGAAAAAATTCATTCTATTTTTCTAGATTATTGAAATCAGTTAAATCTAAATAGCTGACCTAAAAATCGGTATAACCCATTCCGAGGAAGTTAGAAATTACACAGTTCATTTCGATACTCCTTAGAGCTGACTATTTTTTAATCACACAACTTTGTTCTTAAGTGAACATACATTTGGAACAAGGTAGTCACAGTCACGAGTTGTTAGTTCTGACACATTAGTTCCACATCATTTTGATCTACCTGCAGTATTCCACAACCCAGATTGACTTGATTCATACAGTTCATATTGCTCACTGATACATTTTTTGGTTATTCTCACTTCTGTATCACAGATCAGACACAATCTGTTAACTAGGCCTGATACTTCTCAACCTTAACCACCCTAATATCACACATAGGGAGTGAAAAAATCTCCCTGATCGTAGATAAATCCTAACGCGGACAGAAAGACAGAATCAACAATAAACCTTAAATAGAAGTGCATCGATTCAAATTGTCACACTTCATAGTTATATACAAAGAACAAGTGGATAGACATATGTGTACGGGAAAGGAAATTTTAAAACTAAAGTTAGTCAAGGTATTCAAACTTCAGAAGAAATCAAAGAGTGAATGCATCTACGCCATTGTGACCGATTCTCAGCCTTGTCATCAAGAGTCCTCAACCAATGATTCCTATCATCTTGCGGATCCCAGTCGGGTAGTCTACAACCCCCCACGCGACTCAGACTAAAAGTCAAGGACTTCTTATATTGGTGCCAAATATTAGTCTGACCTCTCAGGACCCCACATGAACGGCGTGATTTGTAAACTATTTGCAAATTGGTCATTCATCTCTTTGTCTGAACCTGTAAAGTAATTTTCTCCATTAAATATTCCAGTAACTCAAACAATAAATTGTTTTTTCTTACTTTTTTGACATTATTTTTCCTCTACGATAGGGTAATAAATTCATCTAGATGATAAGTGCAGTAGGTGAATATTATAAAATAATCATCTCAATGTTTCAGTGCAGCTCCATACATGAATCCCATGAGATTATTTATGAATTAACTAAATAACTAAATGGTATATCTTCAGACATTTCCACTCATCAGTGTCTGTCTACTTCTCTATTTGTCTGTCAATCTAAAGTTGCTTAAAAATCTCAACAAAAATTTTTTTTTCTTGTACACGAATATTATAATAAAGGGAACTCAAAGAGACTCAAGTGAATGCGATCGATTCGTTTATAAAAAGTAATTGTCAAAAAGAGAATCCAACGATAAAATGTTAAGTGTGTTGACTAATACTATATGAAAGACTAGGAATCTATCAAGAGAGAAAGATGAAAAGATATCAAGGTGGGAAATAAATTCGATATCTAACCATTAGCAGTATTTTAGTAATATATACAAGGAATTCGTTAATTTGCTTATGAATGTAACCGTTTCAGACCAATAAACTTCAGAGAAAATCATAGACCACTGGTATCACAGACTATGGTTTTTATGGTGTTTTGTTCTCTGAGCTGGATGGTTGAATCATTGTCATTTCAGACAACACCATCGGCACAAACTTTAGAAACAAGTGAGCTGCGTAGTGTTCTCCACAAGTAGCTTAGTAGTTTGGCCTGATGGTGTGAATGATTGTTCGTGTGAAAGTCTGATGTTGTCTCCATATTTATTTTAATTGATTGTCCTGATGATGTTAACTTTGAACTTCTTTTTGTTTATTATTGGTTCATCGACTGGGTTAACGTCATATGTCTGTTGATTGCTGACTGACTTGAATGCCAAGCTTCTAAAAATTCTCTTTATTCTTCCTCGATCTAGGATTTCCACATTTCCCCAGCCAAATTTAAGGCCATCAGGACAAACCACTATGCCATTTGTGGAGAGAATCCCATAACTCATTTCTTCCTAAGGTATGTGCTGATGTTATCTAGAATGACAATGAAAGCTTTACGGTTGAACCATCCAGCTCACAGAACACAACACCTTCAAAATCGTCCTACTGAGCTACAAATATTCTCCATCACAAACTACTATCCTAATTAATTAGCCTATATTGTTTAAAGTGCTTATCTCTAGGTCCTTATTCCAGTGGAAAAAGTAGCAATTAAGCGAAATCCAAGCTCATCTAAAGAGTCAGAGTATGAGCAGTGTGATCTACATACTTCGTTTTCCAGAGACCCTTGAAAGGGCATCAAAATGCAAACAAAAAACCATCAAGTCAACAACAGTTCATGAATTATAGTCAATGAAACTACTAAAAAAATAATTGACTTGTATACTAGTCACAGTTGTAAGATAACTATCAAATTATCTTAGTCTTTCATTGAAAAGGTATGATTGGAATAAAAAATAACATTTTCGCCAATAGCACATAAATTGGAAATCATCTACACAAGCATGTAATTTTACAGTTTCTGTTTGTGTGCATGGTTGTGTGTATCGCGTTTGGATCCACCTCGTCTGGCTGTGAATTATACACGCATAATGTCGGCTTGCATTCATGTGTGTACATTTCAGTGTAATGCAAACAAAAAACACATAAGAGAAATTAAAACCTGCACCGATGATTTATTGATTATACTTCAATATTTTGGCGGGAATACCAGAGGATGGATGGATGGATGGATAGATAGATAAAGAAATAAGCAAAAATGAAGAAAAAGAGCGGAGGAAAGTGGAAAACAAGACAGAATTTTAAGGTAGAAAAAAGTAATCCATTTTAAAGGTCTATAAAGGTATGAATGCGCTTCACAAACAAGCATACAAACACTAATGACCTTCAACCGTCGGTTCCATATGATTGTATACCTGACAAGTGATATACAAACTGATATTATTATTATTATTATCATAAATCTGAGGGAGAAGTTAGCCATAAAATTCTCATTAATGAAACTTC